GGCGTCACCCGTGACAGGGGGACACGGACGTGGGCACCCACCCGCGGCCCTGCTCCCCGCACCCGGGTTGCAGCGGTGAGGGTGGTCCGCACGGCAGCGGGTAGCCCCAGGGCCACCGTCCCAGCCCCAAAACCCCCCCAGAAGCAGGTGGCCCACAGCCACGCGTGTGGCCACTGGCCACCCCACCCCAACACCCCCGTGGAACCTGTTTAAAAAAAAAAAAGCGAGCCTTTGGGATCAAAATAGCACCCTATTTTTTGCAGCTGTGGAAGACGCTTGACCCGTGGCCACGCTGGGTCCAGCCGTGGTCCTTCCTGGGGACTTTGGGTCACCAGCAGCAGTAGCCATGGGTGGGCAAGGAGTAGCCCACGCTCATAGATCAAGGCTCTGGCTTGGCTGTATCGCAGCAGTAGGGTGCAGAAAGCTTGGGGGGCAGCCAGCACAGACCACATGGGCTGGGGGCACGTGGGAAAAAATACCTTTTTTGGGGGGAAAAAGCTGGTGGAAGTGCAGGCAGGTCATTTGTTCCCGGCTGGACTGGGGAGCTGGAAGGCAAGTGGTGGTCCAGGGGGACACCTGCACGCTGGCCACCAGGATGGGGAGTGGTTGGAAGGCCAGGATGCCTAGGAGCTCTTGCAGTAGCTATTAGGAAGAATTTCTTTCCTGTGAGGGTGGTGAGACCCTGGACCAGGTTGGCCAAGGAAGTTGTGGATGCCCCATCCCTGGAGGTGTTCAAGGCCAGGCTGGATGGGGCTTTGAGCAACCTGCCATAGTGGGAGGTGTCCCTGCCCAGGGCAGGGGGGTTGGAACTTGATGATCTTTAAGGTCCCTTCCAACTCTAACCATTCTATGGCTCTATTTCAAAGAGAAGGCCATGCTCTTGCTTATAGATAACCACCCAAACCCACCTAAACAACATGTTCCTAAGCCCTTTTCAGGAATGGCCAACGCTCTCCTACATGGTCAGTCCTGTAGGTCCTGAAGGGAATGAGAAAGGGGGAAAAAAAAGCAGCCTGACCCCCCTGGAGGGCTTTCCAGAACCCTTCCACTGAGATGCCGGTGTCACGGCAAGAAGGGACAGAAGGGACAGGCTGTAGAGCACCAGGGGTAGCAGCTGCGCTGCAGCAACGCTCACACCAGCCTCCTCCTCCTCCCAGCCTCGGGCTTCTCTCCAGGCTTACTGGAGATTTTGCAGAGAAAATCCCCAGCAAGCCCGAGGAAACATTTGCTTTGTGTTGTTTTCTTTTTTTTTTTTTTTCCCCAGCTAGAAGACTGCTGGCTCGGGAGGAGGGCTTAGTGCTCTCCAGCGACAGCAGGTCTTGGCCGGAGGTGGCCCTTTGCGGCCAGCCCTGAGGACACCACCACCTTCCTGCCCCAGCCAGCACGTGGGCTCTGAATTAAAGAAATACCAGCCGTTGATAGACACAGAAAAGGCAAAAGCCAGGTCTTAGGATGTGGTTGCTGCTCTGGGAGAGGTCTGGATGGCAAACAGCCTCCATTCTCCATGCCCCGGGGGCAGAGGGTGGCTGCAGGAGAAGCCCCAGGCCAGGCTGCTCCCAGAGCAGCTTTGCTTTGGTGCTGTGGCCCCCCCAACCCCAGAAGGGGGGTCAGAGGGTGCCGTGGAGCCAGCAGCAAGCCCAGGCAGAGGCTGAGCATCCTTCAAGCCCACCCTGCAGCGCCGGCATCCCAAAGCCCACCCCGAGCTGAGAAAGGGCTGGTTTTTCCTGCGCAGCCCGAAGGAAACAACAACAAAAAAAAAAACCACAAAACCACCCCCCCAAAAAAAACCCAACAAACCCCATCACCCCATTTCCAAACAAAAGCAGGAAATCCTTTTTGCCTTCATGCAAATAGTCAGGCAAGTGTTTTACCATGTGTTTACTCTCCAGCTGTGCCCGCCTTCCCCCCTCCTCCCACCCCAGCTTCTCTCTCTTTCCCTCCCTCTTCTCCACAAGCTTCTCCTTGGCGGATGCTGCACGATCTGCTGTAGCTTTTTGTCCCCAGCCAGCAGCGAGAGGACCCGGTCCCCGTCCTCCCCCTGCACCCACCCCAGCCAAAGCACAGCATCTCCTCCAGGGATGCTGCAGCGCCTGGCAAAGCCCTTCAGCTTCCCTCTTTCCCTCCCTCTTCTCCACAAGCTTCTCCTTTGCAGATGCTGCACGATCTGCTGTAGCTTTTTGTCCCCAGCCAGCAGCGAGAGGACCCGCTCCCCGTCCTCCCCCTGCACCCACCCCAGCCAAAGCACAGCATCTCCTCCAGGGATGCTGCAGCGCCTTGCAAAGCCCAGGCAGGGTTCTTTGTCTGGGGCACAAAGCCACCATTGGTGGCCACGCGGGCAGGGGACAGAGGAGCTCCCCTTTCCCCGAGCCCAGCCACAGCCACCCCCATCTTCCTACACCCATGGCCACAGCAGCTTCAAAGCCTCTGCGTTTCCAGCGGGCAAGGTGTGGGGCTGCTGGTGGAGAACGTTTAAAGCCCATCTTGCACAAAGAACAAAAAAAGGAGCTTATATCCCAGCAAGAGCTTTTTTCACCCCCCCACCCTGAAAAATTTGCAAAGCCTCCCCTAACTGCACAACCTGCTTCTTTCTCGGGCGTTTGGGTTTTGCTGCTTTCAATAATTTAGAACAAAAGAACCGAGGCATCACCAGATAAGGGGAGAGCAAAAAATCAGCCCTGACCCGAAATAGAAAAGAACGACTGCCAGCCATTTTAGTTGAGTTTTAAATCTCCCCCAGAAGAAGGCTGTCAGGGCTCAGATGCAGCCTCGCTGATGGCCATTTCCAGGAAGGCTTTATTCTGTTTTACAGGAAGGAGGATGCGGGAGGTTTTCTCTATCTGATGAGCCTCCTGCCTGCAGGGAGAGGCAGGGCACCACCGAAGCCACCCAGGACCTCAGCCCCCTCCTCTGCAAGGCCAGAGTTTACTTTTTCCTGCTCATTTTGAACCCCAGCCTCCTGTCACAACCCTTTCCTGGAGCAGAGAGCCCCAGGAAGGCAGCCAGCACTCCCTGGCTGTTGCCTCTTACACCAGGGCTCATGCAGCCCCTGGATTTTGCTGCTCCTTGCAGTTTAGAGAAGGGCTTTCTGTTAACCCTTACTGCTTTCCCACTGCCCACAGGCAGCTGCTTTCTGTAGATTATAGAAACACCGACTCCAGGAGAGGAGAAATCACCCGTCCGTTAGTAAGGCACAGGGAGAAGCAGCAGGACAACAATTTGGGATGTGTCTCGTCTTGCTCCCAAGAGCAGACAAGTCCTGCTGCCTGCAAGGCACAAATAGCAAGCCCAGCCCAAGGCATCCCCAGCCAGGCAGGTAACTGGGCTAAAATGCAGAAATGCAGGGCTTTTGAGGGATGGGTTCACCTTCTGCTGCTGCTTTTACAGCAGGCAGACGGAGAGGAGACAGCTCCTGGCACCAGGATCCACACACCTGCAGCCACGCTCCAGCTCTGCCTGAGGCACAGCAACCTGCTGTAGCTCTGTCCTGCTCTTCCAGCTCTCCAGCTAAAGAAAGCACAGCAAATTACCTGCTGGGGATTTTCTTTTTGGGGAGTAATGACTTGCTTTCTATGGTATTTCTTCAGCAGCTGTGAAGAAAGCCTGAGAAGACACCAGAGTTCACCTCACCCTGCATGTTCCATACTTGCTTCAGTAGCTTCCCAGGATGGGAGAGCCACCTCCACTGCAAGGCAGTTCAAGACCCCACCAGGGCTCCACTGGTGCTGCTGGAGCTTAACTTGCCTGGGCTAAGGATGAGCATCCCTGCATCACTCCCAAACTTGGAGAAACTGGGATCTCTGCTGTCCTCCCAACCTTTCCACATCCACAACTGTCCTGGGCTGGGAGAAGAGTGCTTTAATTCTACTGTATGTATGGGACACAGGCAGCTATACTTGCTCCAATAGCACAAATAATTTCTAGCCAACATTCACAACCTGCCTACAAATAGGATTAGCAATTAGAAAACATTGGAGTAGTTGTTTTTTTGGTTGTGGTTTTTTTTTTTTTTTTTAATTCAGGGAAGGAACTGAAGCTTTTCAGAGCAGAAAAGCTTGACCTCACAGAATTGTCAGAGTTGGACAGGGAACTGAAGGTTTTCAGAGCAGAATAGCTTGACCTCACAGAATTGTCAGAGTTGGAAGGGACCTCCAGAGATCACCTAGTCCAACTCCCCTGCCAAAGCAGGGTTGCCCAGAGCACATCACTCAGGGCTGCATCCAGGTGGGGCTTGAAGGTCTCCAGAGAAGGGGACTCCACACCGTCCCTGGGCAGCCTGTTCCAGGGCTCTGTCACCCTCACCTGAAAGAAGTTCTTCCTCATATTTGAATGGAACTTCCCATGTTCCAGCTTGTGCCTGTTGCCCATCATCCTATCACTTGGATACCTCCTTGGGACAGTTCCCATACCTTAAGAGCTCCAGTGCTGTCATACAGCACTTTTGGATACCTCCTTGGGACAGTTCCTATACCCTGGGTATCACTCATCCCTAAGAGCTCCAGTGCTGTCATACAGCACTTCAAGTCTTTGCCCTCCCTCACTCCAACCCCTAGGTTTTACTAAAGTAACTAAGAAATCAGTATACAGAT